CACATTTCCTAATCAACAATCAAAAAAGCCTTACATCAACCCTCATTCAACTAATCATGAACATATCACCATCATTTTATTCCTCCTCGTGTTCTTCAGATCCAAGAAAAAGGAAGAAGAACAGAAGAAGCTGGCGGAGGAGGAGCAGGACATGAAAGAGGAGTCGGAGGAAGAGGAGGGAGAAGATCATCTCACGTCATCCAGGAAGGGGACGGTAAAAGGGGAGGAAGAGGGAGAGGGGGAAAAAAGATGAAGCAAGTGGGACGGGGAGAAAAGAGGAAGCAAATGGGAGGGGGAGAAAAGAGGAAGCAAGTGGGAGGGAGAGAAAAGAGGAAGCAAGTGGGAGGGGGAGAAAAGAGGAAGCAAGTGGGAGGGGGAAAAACGAGGAAGCAAGTGGGAGGGGGAGAAAAGAGGAAGCAAGTGGGAGGGGGAGAAAAGAGGAAGCAAGTAGGAAGGGGAGAAAAGAAAAAAGCGAGGGCAAGGTTGACGGACAGCATCATGACGAGGCCAACCACATGTAGCATCCAGCCGCCTAAATACATGAAAGCTGGCTGGCTGGCTGGCTGGTTGGCTGGATGATTGGATAAATGGATGGCTGGTTGGATAATTGGATGGATGGATGGATGGCTGGATCGATGGCTTTCATGATTCTTGATCTCGATCTAAGATTCACATATAGATCTAGCCTAGATCTGGATCTTAGAATCTATAATGCACAGAAAGAAAAATCCGCTTTCAATATTCAATAGGTTTTCGAAGTATCACAGATCTAGATTCTACTTTCATTTTAATTATTTTTCTTGATCTCGATTTAGATCTAAATCAATATTCTAGATCTAGATTCCAGATCTCATCTAGACACTGTGCACAAAATACAGTCATCCTTCGGCATGCCCGCTAAATCCACTGCCGGAGAAATCTACTTTTGTGGCGTCCATCCTTGTTATTGTCATGTCTCACGTCCCATGCTGTTCGGTAAACTTGCTTAGTCCTGTTCCGACGTTTAGTATCTGTGTATCAACTTTCTTGAGTGTACTGTTCCGATATTAAGTATCTGTGTATTTGAAACTATGAACTTCCTTGATGTGCGCATGCGCGATAAAGTAGTCTTCAGTCTTCATGACAACAACAAAGTCTCGAGATCCGAACTTGTTTTCTCTGTCAGTGTCGAGTGAGTGGAGCTTTTGATATGCTGCTGATTCTAGATCTGGAAAGTAAATGCTAGTTCTGGTATTCCTACATTGGTGACCCCGACGTGAGTAGACCTAAAAGTTTCACGGCTTAGTATAATTAAATATAGAAGTCGATCGCTGCTCTGCTCTACCTTGCTAGACCTCGGACATCGATTCACGCTTGTCGGCATACTATAACTATTACTAATTACCGCTACGTACCGGGTATACAACAACTCGTTATAATGAATACTGAGTAAGCTATACTGGAACTGGTGCAGGCTATACGTAGCCAGACTGTATCAGCATCGGCTGTGTCAGCGGTTGCCTTTAAGGCCCCGGCATTCTGGGCAACCAATGCGACGGCATGGTTTCTTCGTCTAGAATCTTCTTTCGCCACCCACGCGCCCCCCATAACAAACGACCTAACGAAATTTCATCACGTTGTGCAGCTTTTGGACTTTACCATGTCACGACGTGTCCAAGCGGTCATAGAGCATCCCCCAGACACAGGAAAATACTGCGCCCTAAAGAAAGCGAAAGCCTTACTAGAGGCTTACGAGGCTACCCAGCTTCAAAAGGACACCGCATTACTCAACATGAATGGCTTGGGAGACCGCAGGCCCTCAGAGCTCCTCCAACACATGAGGTCGCTGAACTCTGACCCAAGAACCTTTTTTCGTGCCTTTTACTTTAACCGACTACCCACGGAGGCTCGTCGCATTTTAGCCCAAACTCCAGAGGTCGACCTTGAAACTCTCGCTAAGACAGCCGACCGCATCTTGGAAGTAGACCTGCCTACCCCAGGTGTCATGGCTACAGCGCACGACAAACACTACGATTCTGCGTTACCTGACATCCCGTCATTCGCTCCACCAGCTTTCAATTCTTCAAATCCAAACTACAAAAGAAAGAGAGTACCCCGGTTTGCCAAACCTCAGTCATGGAGGACGGATCAGCCACTCATGTTCACATTATGTAAATACCACACACGTTTCGGCCAAAATGCCAAACGTTGCGAAAGCACTGTGGAAGGTCGCCCACGCGCTATGTTCCCAGGAACCACGCAGCAACAGGGAAACGACAAGGCCAGCGGACACTAGAAGTAGAGGGCAACGCTAGCCAAATCGAGGCCCTCCAAACCTGCTCGGTCAACTTCGGTACTGTCTCAGTTGCTGACCTACTTTTCGGACGATCTTTCCTCGTGGACACGGGAGCGGAAGAGTCTGTTTTCCCCGCTCTTCCACCTGATAGAAAACGACCTCGGGGACCCAGTCTCGTGGCAGCTAATGGATCAGCAATCTCAACATATGGAAAGCGCACCATCCCTCTCAAACTATGCAAAAGGTCTTTCTTCATACAAGAGTTCTATGTAGCAGATGTGACACAACCCATTCTGGGTGCAGATTTCTTTGCCAGTCATCGACTAGCAATAGACTTGGCTAACAAGAGATTGGTGTCCCTAGATGGTGGCCTCATCATTCCAGTGCAGCCCACCAGGTCTCAGCGTCCGGGCATCCACAAAGTCCACTCACGTTTTGAGGCAATACTAAAGGATTTTCCTGAACTGTTAGTACCTACTTTTGAAAGCAACAATCACGGTATCGTTCATCACATCCCCACTACTGGACCTCCGGTTCATGCTCGTGCACGTCGACTAAACCAGGAGAAGTTAGCTGCTGCTAAATCTGAGTTTGATGAAATGGAGCGCCTCGGCATTGTACGCCGCTCATCCTCCCCCTGGTCATCGCCATTACACATAGTCAAGAAATCCAATGGAGGCTGACATCCGTGCGGAGATTACAGGTGGTTGAACAACATCACTAGGGACGACCGCTACCCTCTCCCTCATATCCAAGATCTGAACGCCAACCAACGAGGCAAAAATGTGTTCTCCAAGATTGACCTCATCCGGGGCTATATTATAATCAGATTCCGGTTGCAGACGAGGACATTTCGAAGACAGTGGTGATCACCCCGTTTGGTCTATATGAATTCCTGAAGATGCCCTTTGGTCTAAAAAATGCAGCTCAGGCCTTTCAACGGTTCATGGGTGGAGTACTACATGGCCTTGACTGCTGTTTTGCGTACCTCGACGACATACTGGTAGCCAGCAATACACCAGAACAACACGAGACCGATCTTCGAATGGTTTTCCGTCTGTTGGCTGCAAACGGTTTAGTCATCAACGCCAAAAAAATGTTGTTTCGGACAGTCGTCAATGACATTCCTGGGACACTCAATTTCCTCTTCTGGAATCGAACCTCTACCGGAGAAAGTACGATCTATCACAGACCTCCCAGTGCCGACTGACAAAAAAGCCCTCCAACGGTTTCTGGGAATGTTGAATTTTTACCACCGGTTCCTTCCAGGCCTGACCAAAACTATCTTACCGCTGACAGAATCGACAAAAGGCAAAGTCAAGAAGCTGCACTGGACAGCCGAGTGTCAAGCTGCCTTTCAGAGCACTAAATCTACCTTGGCCTCTGCGGTCATGCTTCACCACCCAAACCCTCACGCAGAAACACGTCTCTCATTGGACGCGTCAGACTCAGCTCTGGGGGCAGAGCTATCTCAACTCCACAAAGGTCTTTGGCGACCCATCGCTTTCCTTTCCAGGAAACTGACACCCACTCAAAGCCGATACTCCGCCTTTGATCGGGAGTTGCTAGCGATATACAGCGCTACAAAGCATTCCCGCCATTTCCTGGAAAGCAGAACCTTCAGCATCTTCACTGGTCACAAGCCCCTAACCTATGCCATAAACAGTTTGGCGGATAGGTCCCCACGTCAAGAGCGACAACTTTCATACATCGCCGAGTTCACCACTGACATCAGACACATTAGTGGTTCAGAGAATTTTGCTCCTGACACTTTGTCCCGTGCCCCTGTGATTGAACTAGAACCCCTAGTGGAATCCACATCCAGCGTCCCAGCCATCGACATGAAAAAGATGGCAGTAGATCAAAGCATCGACCAAAAAATTGCGACACTGCGTAATCATCCAGGGTCACTGAAGCTTACAGACATTCCTTTTCAGGGCACATACGTCCTGTGCGACATGTCTATGGGCCACCCTCGCCCTGTCGTACCCCCATCATGGACCAAAACTGTTTTTGAGGCACTGAACAACCTTTCTCACCCTGGACCCAAACCCACGATCCGCGCCATCTCAGCACGCTACATTTGGCCAGACCTGAAGAGAGAAGTGAAGAACATGTTCGCACCTGCCACGCATGTCAAGCCAGCAAAGTTGGTCGACATACAAAAGCCCCGCTGAATACCTTCTGACCTCCTGACAGACGATTCGGAGATATACATCAGGCCCTTGTTGGTCCTCTCCCCTCATCAGAAGGATACACCTACTTGCTAACGATTGTTGACAGATTCACAAGATGGCAGGAAGCCATTCCCATCCAAAACGCAGAAGCTATCACGTGCGCCCGGGCCTTACTGCGCAATTGGATTTCACGTTTCGGCGTCCCAGACTCTGTCACCACAGACCGAGACCCTCAGTTCACCAGCGCGCTGTGGCGCGAACTTCACGCTGTACTCGGTGCTAGCCCCAGACACACCACAGCGTACCACCCCAAGCTAACGGGCTGGTCGAAAGATTCCACCGTGATCTTAAAGCTGCCCTAAAAGCAGGCCTCACGGGACCACGCTGGATGGATGAGCTTCCCATTGTTCTCCTCGGACTCAGGTCCACCTGGAAGGAAGACCTCGATGCTTCACCAGCACTTCTCACATACTGCACTAACATCCGAGTACCTGGAGATTTCATGCCAACTCCCTCTACGGACAAACTGCACCCCAACAACACATTTGTCCTGGATCTTCAAGAAACTATGAGAAGGCTCAACCCTTACCCTCCCACCCAACATGGTCCACAGCGTAGCTTTATGCCAAGAGATATAATGTCAGCTGATCAAGTTTTTCTACGGCATGATGCCCACAGAGGTCTACTTATGAGGCCTTACGACCTTACCATTCCAGGTCCTGTCCAGGACAGACAAACACTTTGTTATTCAAAAAGATGGACAATCCATTCGAGTGTCCAACGACAGACTGAAACCAGCCTAGGGGAAACAACAACCCTACCAACCTCTACCAA